ACCAATGCACCAAAGTATATCAAGTTATGTACCTAGCAAAGGGCACACAAACATTTCCATGAGTGAAAATCTATACTAAAAAGAAAAGAAAATGAAAGCAATAAAACACGGGTTACTTCCCGAGAAAGGCATGCTTAAGGTCCAAGCTTGACCGCTCTAGTAAATAATATTGCAACGAACGCAAGAGCTTGTCAAATGCACTACTACACATTTCATAGGATAAACTGTAGGCGGATGACGGGAGGAGGACGTGCAACAAGATTATTGCACGCAATTGAGGTGGGAGATGCCAAAAGAAAGAAGAAAAATCAAAAGAAAAATCAAGAAAATAAGAAAAAGAAAAAGAACAAAAAGGCAAAACCTCCTCAAAATCTTTTTGGGTGGAAAAATCACCCTTTTACTCAATAATCGATGAGAGAGAGGCTTAAATCTCACCAATAGACGGGGGGTCCCCAATAGGCTCTATGACAAAAGAAGGGAGGGACATAGGATAGTAGGGGATATGGTTAAATCTTCTTAAAAAAGGGACATGAGAAAAGGGGATAGGAGCAAAGGTCTCGCCTATGAACTCTTCCTCACCACCATTCTTCAAATCACCAATAAGAGCATAGAAATCAATCATAGAGTCCTCAAAAGAAGAACACTCATAATCTCCATCTCCCTCAAACATCAACCTCCAAGAGAAACCATATATTCCTCTCTATCACAACGATGAACAACAACTCCCTCAACATCCTCAAAGCTTAGAGTCTCAAAACCATGCATGAAAGGATGCAAATTCATTTCAAACTAATTTCTCTCCCATGAAGCATTATCAATGAACTCACTCAAAAGGCTATGAGTTTTCTTTACTCCTTCAATGAACACACTAGTCATAACCTCAAATGAGTCCAAATACTCATGGATCTAAGGGTCACAAACATGCAAGGTAGACTCATCAAGATGGGGAAGGGGGTTGGAATCCACAAAATCAACAATTTCTTCATTCTCAACTCCTCCACCATCATCCAAGGGTTTCTCAATCTCTCTTGGTTGCTCAAATTCATCATCATCCCCCTCATGAAATCCCTCATCCAATATTGAAGATGGCTCACTCACAACCTCACCAGGGGTAGCTCTCAAAGGGGGTGAATAAGGGGAAGGAAGGCGCTCAAGCTCATCATTTGGGCAATCCTCTCATCACAAGAAAATCTCCCCTAACCTTTACACCCTTGGCCTATATTATCCTCAAAAGCACTCTCACACTCCAAATGAGGTGCTTCGCATCCATTTCCAACAACCCTAGCACTCATCATTTGGGCAATCACTTCTCTCACTTTTTGTTCCTCTTGATGCTCTTGGACTTGTTGGGTGAGATATTACATTTGGGAAAGAATTTGGGCATCAATGTTATTGGGTTAAGGTTCACAATCACCATTAACATGCATATCATCAACATTAGAACACACCTCATCACAATAAGCATAAGAGGGAAAGGGGTTAACATACTTATTTGGATCAACACAAGGCATATTAGAAGCATTAGGAGAATTCATGCAAAAATAAGAGAATCTTAACATTGAGAATCAAAAAAAGAAACATGACATTCTCTATCATAAGAATCTCTAGCAAGCCATGTGAAGAAATTCCAAGCATCATGCATAAGCAAAAGATGTAATCTACCATTATACATATTCTCAACCATTGCCCTAGTATTACTCATTCATGCCCCAATAAGCTATACCATAAGCATCACTAAGAGAACAACAATGGAAACTAAGGAAACCATCAAGTCTTTCAAAGTAAGCATAGAAGGGTTCATCATCAAATTGAGGAAAAGATAAGCATGCCATTTTTTGACACAAAGCTAAGAAAAGCAAAACAAAATCAAAACTATACACAAGAACCTAGCTAATCAAATCAACACAAACTAATGAACGCCTTAGTCCCCGACAACAGCGCCAAATTTGATCGGCGGATAATAGGTCGTTGGTCTACTATCCTAGATCAAATTTACAATTTATATTCCTAACCTAACTCTATCAAGTTCACACTAGATAGTGGCAAGCTAGGGTCGAACCACAAGGAATAAGTGTATTAAATTGAGGTAATTAAACTAGTAGGAAGGCTTTGAGATAGAGTAAGAAACAACTAAACACTACTTAAAGCAATTAACAAGATACTAGGGAAAGAGGGATCCAATTAAATTTATGAATTCAATAACAAATTGCAATTAGATGATCATGATCTCAATTAGGAACGATTAACACACTCAACTCACTCCCGCGCAATTAAGCATGCTAATTATCCTACTAAGCTAATTCACTCTCGCGCAACTAGCCTAGCAAAAGTATGGAACAATCTAGACTCTCAATCAACTCACTCCCGCATTATTGATTGAAATCACAACGAAGACCCTAGAATCAATTAGCTAAAAAGATTCTAATCAATGGAAGCATCATCCAAACACAATAATCAAGAATCAAATACATACTAATCATAACCAATCACTCAATTCATCAACATAACCTTCATCCGTTTCCCTAGAAACAAAACGAAGCAAACATAATGAAGAAAGACATGGAAAACAAGATAAACTAGAATTAAAGCAAGAATCAAACAAGCAAACTAATTAACTACTCTTATCAACAATGAATTAAACAAAACAAGAATTAAACAAAGCAATAAAGGTGAGAGAAAGTTAGCAAGCTCATGGAGAAAGAAAAATCAGGATGGTGGCTCAGGGGAGGTTCGACAGAAGGGGATAAGGGGAGGAAGAAGCGTCGCTGCACCGGGGAGGGGGCTCTAGCCGGAGGCTGAATGGGGCTAGTCTTGGGCGGGGGTGGTGGTGGGGATGGTGGTTGGGTTTAGGCGATTTTTCATTTTATTTATTTTTTGTTTTTTTTTTACTTTTTTAATTTTTAATAATTAATTAAATAAATTTAAAAATGAACTAACCACATGATGCCATGTGGCGCAATTAACCCTTAATGACTACTTCCTCCGTGTTTTAATAAGTGTTACAGTTTGACTTTTCCACTATTCACATAATGGTTTTGACTTGATTAATTTACTAAAATATAAAAAACAAATGTTATTGTATTAATACATTGTTGGATTCGTTATAATGTATAATTTCATAATATCAATTTTCCTATAATTTTATTAACATATGAATAGATAAATTAATGATCAAAGTCGTGTCTCAACATGCGTGTTTGATCAAACAATAACACTTATTAAAACACGGAGGGAGTAATCGAGTTGACATCCATTAGTCATTTGAAAAAATTGGTTTTATTAATCCCAACTTTGACCGATTTTTATTAATTAATCCCAACTTTTGATTGTTGTGGAATAATCCCAACATATATATGTATCTTCTAATAATAATCCGAACTTCTATTTTTGTTTCACATAATAGTCCCAAAAGGGATCAGCAAAAGCAACAAAATAACACTTCGGATTATTTTAGGAAGAAACTTACATAAGTTGGGATTATTCAAGAATAATCAAATTGAAAGTTGAGATTATTTAAAGAAAATCGATCAAAGTTGGGATTATTAAAATCAATTTTTCCTTTGGAAATTTGGTGACATTTTTGTTAAACTCGAGGGTATATGGTTAATTTAAAATGTTTCATGGATATATGATGAATAAACGAATTACTCAGGGGTATATGATGAAAAAACCATTAACAATATTTCATTACAACTGAAAAAACATTCATAGGTGGCAGAGGACAGAGAATGATGGAAACATATAAAAAAGAATTATTTAAGGGGAAAGAGTAAAGTTACCAAGAACATTATATCACACTTTATTTTAAAAATTAATAATAAAGTTTAGGAAATTTTAGATTTTAACACCAGAAAAAAAAAAAAACCTGAAAATGGTTTTTAACACCCAAAAAAAAAATTATTTTAACACCAAAACTTTTTTAACAAATTTGATTTTACCACCACTAACTAATTTCGTCCAAGAATCCGTTAAGTGAGGTCATAAAACCACGTGTCGCTTTATTATTGGCCAAAAAAAGAAAAAATTTAAAAAAAAAATTTAAAACTACCCAAGCCCACCACCGTCCCACCACTGCCACCTTCTTCTCCACCTTCACACACAGCCGCCTACGTAGACGCCGGCGCATCACCTCCCCCTCCCTCATTGACCGACCTAAACCCACCCCCCCACCCTTTTCCCGCAGCCCTAAACCACCCCAAAACCACTTACCTGCAATCGTCGTTTCCAAAAACGGCCACAAATTCGGCCATTAATGGCCAAAATCGACCGGTTAAGGCCACTCAGCCCTAAAACCGGCCGATTTCAGCCGTTAATGGCCGAATTCGTGGCCATTTTGGGGAAGGAGGGTTACGAATTAGGGTTTCAGCCATTAATGGTTAGATGGTTTTGGGGTGGATTAGGGCTGCGGGAAAGGGAGGGGGAGGGTTCAGGTGGGTCGGGTAAGGGAGGGGGAGGGGATGCGCCGATGTCTGGCCGGCGGCTGGGTTGGTGAAGGTGGCAGTGGTGGGGTGGTGGTGGGGCTAGGGTGGCTGGGTAGATTTAGGAATTTTATTTATTTTTTAAAATTTTTTTCTTTTTTTAATTTTAATTTTAATTTTTGTAAAACAAATAAAATGGTAACACGTGCCACTATAGACCCCACTTAATGAAAATTTTGGACGAAGACCATTAAGTGGTGGTAATATCCAATTTTAAAAAAAAATTCTAGTGTTAATAAAAAAAAAAATTCATTTTTTGGGGCTGTTAAAAAATAAAAACCATTTTCGGGTTTCTTTTCTATTGTTAAAATCCAAAATTTCCTAAAGTTTATCCAAGTTATTGTCCTTTATCACCATCTAATCAAAAAGCCGTAAAGATGTCGTCTTGACTTCACTGGACATGGAACATTGGAACCTCTATGCTGTATTGCTGTGCATAAGCAAAGCGAGAAGAACTATCACTTAAGTTATCCACATCAAAGTGAAGGATCCAAGCCTAGGATCCTCTCGGCACTCACTAAGTTATCCACATCAAAGTGAAAGATCTAATTAATCTCCTACAACATGAGGATCATGAGCAACTTTGACCATATTCATAACAAATTACCCAAACAGACAACCAAACAGGCAAACAGCAAAAAGCGGAAAATTGTATTGCAACGTCCTATTGAGTTACAGTGGAAGAACGTAAGTATTGTAAAATCACATTATTGCAACTTATTTATGACTTTTAAGGGCGCAGGATGAACACAAACTCATTCAGATCTGAGCAAGCATATGATCGCCGCCAGAGACTTTGAACTCAGATGGAGCTTTTTCGACATTAAGAATCTTGACTTTGCCATCCTCCACATAAGCCGACCATCTGCAAGTACACACCAAAACCACACAGACGATCAGTGAGAACAGGAAGTAAAGGCAAATGTACTAGAGTGGGTCAGCTAATAACCTTCTTAAAGCCGTGGTCAGTTCCCATGAACTATCAGAGAAAATATTTTTACCTGTGAGAGCGAGTTCCAAGCAAAGCAGCAGAGAGGTCTATTGTCAAGTCCAAGCTCTTGTGAAAGCTTGCATCAAAGTCCCCATAAAATTCAATCTGGAAAAACAAACATTCACAGCACTTTTAAAGGCCTGGTCTGATTGAATTATAACATCTATTAAAACACAATCATCATCGTCATCTTAAAAAACAAAAAAAAAAAAAAAAAAAAAAAAAAAAAAAAAAAGGGAAGCCCAATCCACCAGTACAATGAATTTTGGTAAATTCCTCATATCCTGACTCATTAAAACACAGAAAAGATACAAATTGAATTTTAAAAACCGCTCACTACCATCACCACCACTGCACAACTACAAAGACTATCCTAAAAAGATGGGGTTGGCTGAATGAACCAAAAACTTTTAACTTGTGGTTGTCTCAAAGATTATTCTTATTCAATCCCCCATCCAAGTCATCTTTGGCTATTCTCGGCTTCTTCTAAAGTCCCCATAATCTCAACTCTCCAATTTCTGTACCGCTTCATCCACTAGTCATTGTCACACATGTCCAAACCAATGTAGTCGATGTCCAGTATTTTATCCTCAAAACTTAAACTCCAACCTTGATTTGAATATCCTCATTTTGAATACTATCAATTAACGTTTTTCCACACATCCATTTCAACATACTCATCTTTTTAATAAATACTAAATCCCCAGTTCAGCATATGCATCTTTGCTAGTACTTCTACACTATGTCATTACATCCCTGCTTAGCTCACTTAGGAACACACTCTTTCAAAACTCAATAAATTTTATGCATTGACAAGTAGAGGGTTTTCTAACCACCAAATTTCGAATTAAGAGAATAGCAAAAACAACAATTTTGCAATGAGATCATCAAAATATCATGAAACTCTAATCTAGCAATACTGTTATAACTTGTCTTTTATAGCCCTTTTTCTGTACTCATATGCTAGCAAAGAAACCTTACAGCATAAGAGCTCTCTCACAATTAAAAATCCAGCAAATCTGGCAGAAGCCGAATGGAATATGGCAAAAGAAGATAAAAAGTATCATTGTTGGGTTCCAATCAATGTACTAGACACCAATATCAATTGGAAGTAATGCACTGAAGTGCTTGCGTCGGGAAGTTGGTTAGTAGCGTATGACATGAAGACTTCTAGCTAATTAGACTAATTCAATAGCGATTAGAAAGTTTTAATTGATTTTGAAAATTTTGTTAGAAACAACCTTCTATATAGAACTTATTGTGAGAAACAACCTTTTAAAAAAATTCTGGCAAGTTAAAACCTTAAACAAAATTTCTTTTTTGTTTTTTTTGTAAGATGAAACCTTGCTCTCTTTTCAGTTGATTAAAAAAAAGAATACTGCATTAAACCACACGGCCACATGTGCCCCAAATTTAACCATAAAAACTTTACACAAACCCCAAAAATTGTTGCTTCAAATGCTAGTATTTTTCTCAATTTACCTTTGAAACTGGCTCATGTAATACTCAAGACATCATTCAATTTCAAGGTATTATCCTCCCAAACGTTAGTTTTCAAGAGATTTATCATTAATGGTGGGAAGGTGGTAACAACAAACAAAGGACAAATTCCCATCATTAAACAAAAAAAAGACAAGAAACCCACCTAAATTATCCCGAAGAAGAAGAAAAGAAAGTGGAGATGGGGAGGAAGATAAAGAAAGTGGAGATGGGGAAGAAGATGAAGAAAGTGGAGATGGGGAAGAAAACGAAGAAAGAGGAGTGCAAATTGAAGAAAATGGAGGCATGTGGTTGTCATGTGGGAGTCAATGCCGGAAAAGAGTTGGTCAACGCAAGAAAATACACTAAGGTTTCATTTTGCAAAAAAATTTTGTCAAGGTTTTAATTGCCAGAATATTTTTAAAAAGTTGTTTCTTGCATTGTTTCTGACAAATTTTCCATTTACTTTAAAATGGATACTACACTTAGGAGTTCTAGTAAGAAGTACTTCATATTTACTAATTACTTCAGAAGTTCTATGGTAGTTGAAGTATTTTGGTATTGGAAGATCTAATAATTCCTATACATATACTATATAGGGCAGTGTTATGTTGCAGTTCATTAATTTGAGAAGAGTTGGAAGAAACCGCCATCATAAAAGTCCTATGTTGCTCTTGTTGTTTTTGCAGTGTAGTTCCTACAATCCACTTCCTAATAAAGTTAAACCAACCAATAACAACTAGCATAATTTCCTTGATTAATGCTATATCTTTTGTTTTGTTATAAATAAAATGCCGCACATAACATAATACCATGTAAATCCCAGTAGCATATAGATTATCACAGTAGCTGAACCAAAATTGAATAGCGGCCAGCTGCTTCCTTATTGAGGTCTCTTCATTTTAACTCTATGTAGCCGTCTACAAGCATGAAATAACCTTTGCAAAATGGACTATAGAAAGGCAGCCATGGTATTTTGTAGCTCACATAAAACTATTTCTTTAATAATTCATGGCACATGCTGGTGTGTGCCTATAAACTTCAATATGACCCCACCTAAGCTGGGTTAAGGATTGAGCATAATGCAATATTACTCCTAAAATGAAAGAGAAACTGTTGCCACAACCCTTTAAAAGAAACACAATGAACATTTGCCACTGGCTTCCATCATATCAAATTAAAAGCACAAACATTATAGTCATCTAAGACCATGAATCATGAAGATTTCATCCTCATCCTCACTGGATTTAGAGAATTGCTAACATAAGATTCAAGCATCATTACAGTATACTATACAAAAAAACAAAGGGGATGCAATTAGTATATGTAAATCTTACTGCATAGTATACTGTAATGATGCTTGTAAGACTAATTCAAGCATAGTATACATAAAAGACTTGCAAGAAACTTACAGCATCTTTTGCTTCTAGTTTCTCAGCCCATCCATTCATCACATATGGATCATTTACGGAAACACAAACTATAGATTCGATCCCTTTAGCTTTGAATTTGTCAGCGTTAGTCTTGTAGCTGGGAACATGTTGAGCAGAACAAACTCCAGTAAACGCACCCTGGAAATAACTACAATGTTAGAGTTGCCACACAAGGGTGTAAAAAGAGGGGCGTCACCCCCTTCAATAATACTTTAAGTCAATACGGTGTGTTTCCATAACTTGGTTTTGGATGAGTGATGGTATACTTAAAGGCACATAGGTCATGTGGAGAGTAAGATCGCGGGTCGGTGACAACAAGTCTTCTTTTGATTATGACTTACTTCTTTTATTTAAGTTTACCTTCTTTTGTTTCTTTTTTACTCCGTATTTTTTATTTATAGTAATCCTAACTCTCTAGAACTAGTGTCTAACTTCATTTTTTTTTTTTTTTTTTGGCTGTAGGACTATAATTCTAAAAACATAGATGTATACAAATGATTTTGATAACTGATTACAATATGCTTCCTCTATTTTATTTTATTTTTTTTTTATTTTTTTTTTACTTGCATCACTTTGGTTGTTACACTATTTATAAACTCCACTTTGACTTTTATACTATTTATAAAATCCACTAAAAGTAATAGTGATCGAAATAATGCATTGTCAAGGGTGAAATGAGTAGTGTTGCAAGTTAAAGAAAAAAAAAATACTCATTTAGTGTTTAACAAAGTAGTATACATTTTTAGTTTATAAAATTTTATTAAAAAAAATCCTTTATTAAAAATAGACACTAAAATATCAATGCACGAAAAAAATAAGAAAAAAAATGTATACCCTTAAAAATACCACGAGCTCTTATACAGTCTTCTTTGCAGCAATAAAGAGAGAATAAAATCAACAAAATCCTAAAATCACCCTCTCCCAGATCTAAAATTCTTGGCTCCGCCATTGTTGCCAGACCCCTAATATCGCACAAGTGTAGCACCACTAACATGACATTGGCAAAGGAAAACGAACTAAGAAAAAAGAAAAAGAAAATAAGCTCTCAGAGTTGCTGGTCCTCAAAACTACTTTCCACCTCTTTTTATTGAAAACATCATCTACCATTTTCTATTGAAAAACATCATCAAGTATCTAGAATAGGACCAAAACACCAAATCCAACCACTCATCACACCTATGTATGTTGAATAGACTAGAAGAGTTTTACCTTGACAAATGGCCATAATACTTGTAACAGAATAAAGATAACTATTCAGAGAATCAGAGCAAGTATCAAGATTCACTAAGTACATAAAGTGAGAAAATCAGAAGCACTGTTGATTTCTCCTTTTCCTATAGGCATTAAGATTAGGCAATATACCCCATAACTACTAGCGAAGATAGAAGGGGGGCAACATATTTCCTGTACCCATGACTCAGAATTTCAAACTTCCAGTAACCTAAGTGTGGAAAATGGTTCAAAATTGAAGGACACATCCTTAATTTTGGTGTCATAGCTAAATTCTCAATTTCTCATGCCAAAACATCATTCTTCATACAGTATGTAGTCTCCTACTCCCCCTTGTTGATACCATAAATAGAAAAGCCTTTTCTTTTCTTTTCATATAACATGACGCTTTTGGTGGAATTTATGAGTTTCAAATGTACACATATCTCAGTAGCTCAACAAAAAGATGTGGTAGACCTCTTAAACACAAGACCAAGCCATTCTCCAGGTTGAGCTATGCTACGTCCTTGATTGTTTACACTTGGGTTACCGTAAATCTTTTATTACTTCAGTTAAATCACCCTGATCCCAATACAACCACACTCATTTGAAGAAAGTTTATTCAGCATTAGGTACTTTGTAGAACTTAGATTGCAATTGTTGCCAAAATAATAACCAATCCTTGTGAAGGCAGTTTATTTTGATATGTAACCATAACAAGAAGAGTAATCTCATGTTACATCAAGACTAGGCTAAAAATATGCCAAATACAACAATTTGTAGTAAATTACGCATGATTCAAAATGCACCTACATAAAAAGAGTGATGAAAGGAAGATGGAAAGGACAACAACTAGAAACGTTATTGTGAAGAATTCATGTTCTCTTACTATTTGTGATTGGTTGAGACAATATAATAACTATTTCTAGAAGGATAAAGTATAAACTTTGGCCGGTTCGACCTTTTGATTTTTACCCCATTAGTACACTGTCTTCCTTCCAAGCTTTGATCCACTTCCCTAACCTCCTATATTAACGTAAGTGAGGTGTTCTTACACGGTTACACCACTATCTAATTTAGAAAAGTGATGTCAATGTCTCAATCTGCTCCAAAATAAACCTTTTCTTAGCCATTAGCACTTATATTAAGGCTCATTGCCTGAGTAGTGCACATTTTTGCATACCTTACACATTTAGCCCTACAGAAATCACTTAATTCAAAACAACCAATAATTTAAGTATATATTTGAACAAACTTATTAAAACTCTAATGCATGCCATATCAATGTATAAATAATTGTCTTGTGCTAAGGGCCAACAATGTTAATAACAGTTCCTTCTCATAATTCAAATATTTAAAAACGGCGTAATAACCCCATGAGGATAAAACATTGTTTATAATTATTTCACTTATTCCAATTTTAAGATGGCAAGAACAATTTACAAAATTATCTTTTGTACGAACATAATGTCATTCAAATATTACTACTATCATAAACCAATATCTACACATAATCGCTAAAGTAAAACTTCCATAAACCCTACTGATGTATCACAGATTGTATCATCTTTTAAATTTTATATGCATGAAAATATTGCATATCTTTTAAATTTTATATGCAAGAAAATAAATAGAACTAAGTAACTCAAGCTATCTTGCTAAAAAAATTCCCCTCCCTTCAGGTTTATTTATATAGCAAAGTGGAAGGGAAATGGAAGGGAGGGAAGATGAAGGGAGGGGACGGAAGGAAGGGCAGAATGAAGGTAAGGTTACATTTTCCCTCCAAATCTTTCTAACATTGGAAGGATTCGGTTTATTAAAGAAAGGAAAATGAACCCTTCCATTTCCCTTCTCTTCCCTTCTCTCCTACCAAATGGTTTCCAATCATGGAGGATGGTTCCTTCTATTCTCTTCTCTTCCTTTCCCTCTAATTCTCTCAATCAAAACAAATTGTTCGTCTCTTTTTTGTTCGTGTTTGCATTTTAAGGAGTACCAAAATGTTGCTCTTATTTAACATCTTTCCTCGATTCCTTTATTATCTTACTACTTAGGAAAAACAAAAACCTACATATACTTCTCTCATTTGGCACAAATTTCTTTATTATCTTACTATCTAGAAAAAACAAAAACCTACCTATACTTCTCTCATTTTGCACAAAGAGATTGTGCTAGCATTAATTTTAATTTCAATTACGCTTCTCTGTCCTGGTTTTAATCTTCATTTGCCACTTATATTCGTTAATGCCTTTTCTTTTTCGTTCCGTTATTTAATTATCATCAATATTCAATACTATTATTTTTTTCAACTTCCAAAACAAAGTATTCCAATTTCCTCATGATTAAAAAAACAAACAAACAGTAACAACATAAAAGAGATGAAGGGAGTAATAATCATAGCTAAAATTTGGATACCATTTTTCGTTACAAACAAAATTACATTTTCGAGAAATTAATATTAACCATCCCAACAAAAAAACAAGTAAGAATTATAGAAGACTTACAGGGAGGCCAAAGATGACAACTTTCTTTCCCTGAAAAACAATTTCTTGAAATTAATATAATTTCCAAAATATAAAGAGAAAATCAATTGAAATTGATGATAGAAATTAACCTTGAAAATGTCTTGCAAAGGGGTAGTGGCGAATTTGGAAGAAACTCCTTCATCGTAGGGGCGAGCCTTAGGGAGGGTAACATTGGGTGCGGCCGAGACTATGTCAGATCCCACTGCAAGAGATGCATAAGCCCTTAATGCTGCGATTCTAAGCCCACCAGATATTGATTTTACCATTGATGATTTCTTCATCATCGCCATTGTTGCCATTTGATTCTATTTTTAGCTTTTACGGTTTATGATATTGTCAAATGGAAAAAGAATAGGAGATGGTTTTTCAGGAGAAGTTCTACAAACTACCAAGTACGAAGTACTATTTTTGGGTTGGTGGAGCTTGTGATTTAGCAAGAAATGGTCCAATAGATATTTGAGCTTGGCCCAAATGTTATGTGCTTGTCTGCTTGAGAAGGGGAACTATTGCAAAAACTTTTGGGCATCCTTGGGTATATTAATACGATACCCGAGCCATGCTCAGATTTTAAAATAAATACTCTAAATATATTGAAATTAAGTAATATAACTTGGTCAGTTATTAATATTATATTATATCATTAAAATAAGTAAAGTCGGTCTCGCAGTCAGGCCATGAAACAGCGATACTTGGCATTCCAGTTATTCGCCAAGTGTCACGCCACATAGGCGAAAACTAGGTATTATTGTGACACATATGATACTAAGTAAGCGAATTTTTGGTAGATTTTTTTAGATAAAATTGTTGTATAGAGTTTTATTGTCAATATACTTCTAATATTTCATATATACAAAATTAATCATAACTTTTAATAAATATCCTATAACTCGATTCCGTTTATGTTTAGGGTAAAATTACCCATGACAAATGGACCAATCCTGACCTGCCACGTGTCCACCACGTGGGCCAATCAGCGTCCGCCACTTGTCACCCTAAGAGGTCCAACATGGACTAATCAGGTCACATCATGTGGCCCATTATCCGCCAACCTGGAAAACGACCATCGCAGGCCCAATTCCCGAGGCAAGCCCAATCAGTCCTAGGTTTTTCCAGAAAACCTAGTATTGGGCACGTACTTCGAGGCTATATAAACATGTCATTAGCCTCCATGAACAAGGGAATCATCTCACCTAGAGAAGTCTAAACACATTTATCACTCCTCCCCTAGAGGAACTAGATCTCCCATCTTTACTTTCCGCATTTATTACTCCTCAAACAAGTACTAACTTGACCGTTGGAGGCGGAGCACCCACCACAAGGAGTCTCCGTTATTTTGCAGGTACAGGCGCAAGGATACCAGTCCCGGAATTGTAACTTTCCCGCTGGACATCAAAAAACCCCGAAACATTTTGGCGCCGTCTGTGGGGAGAGTACTTTTGGGATGGAACCACAGTCTGTACCGACTCAAAGTGAGAAGCGTCCCATGGACGACCCTCGGGTCTACACTGACCAAGATACTGACAATGAGGTCGAGGTCGAGACTCACACGGCCTCTGACGGGACCCTAAGGGCCCGACGCACCCGTCCTACCGAAAGGAGGGAACGAGAGGCTGGTCCCAGTCGGCCAGCCGACCCACCGCCTGAGACTCGGCAGGCGGCCGAAGGATCTACTCCTATTACTAGGACAGAACTCATGAGTCTCATGAGTACTTTCAAGGGAAAGATCCAAGAGCTTGTCAATAAAAAGGCGACTGCTCCACCAAAGGAACAGTCGGCCAGATCAAACCACTCCCAGTTGAAGTTACATGCGCCTCGCATGAAACTATTGGGTACAACCGGCAATATACCAGCCTCCGAGCATCCGGCCAGGCGGCCAACTACTGCAGGCGTCATACGGCCGAATGCAAAGAGTCAGACGGTCAAGCTTGTAAGCTATTTATTATTATCATATTATTATTATGATGGTAAAAAGAAATAAAAAAATAAAAAAATAAAAAAAAATAAAAATAAAAGAGGCTATTAGCAGAATGGCTTGGAATGCCGAGCTAAAAGAGATTCCGTGCATACAATGTCAATGTTTAAACACTTGGCCTGCATGAATCACCATCTTTATAATTATTATATGATGCATGCTTTTGTTAGCCGTATAACCACAAAGCATTATTAATATTTCCTTTGCATGCAAGCTACACTAATCTCTTAAGGAGATTAGGCCACGCATATCTACTCCTATTTTTCCGAGTCTTAGCCAGCTAACTCACTAAAGCTAATTCACTAAAGCATGCAGCTTTACTCAAGTATACATTATACAATATATTTAGTAAATATAATATATTGTTTTGGGAAGAACCGCCATCCCTCATTTGAAATCACAAGTGAGCTCAATCTGAGAGTATGAAGCTCCATGCAAACAAGCGGCATCATGACTCAATGAGCAGCCACCACTATACAAGCCCCAAGCAGTCGGCCTTGTGTACTAAGCGCAGGAAAAAGGGGGGCTAGTGATGTGTGGGAGTCGTATGTGTTTAATCATCATATGCTAATAAACAAAGCTCACCCTAAAACAGCCGTCTTATCATTATATTACCCAATGCCGATCAAGTAAAGTTTGTTCTTGTTTGAAAAATAGCATGAGTCTATTGCAATATCGAGGCACAAATGGCATTATCATGCGAGACAAAGGCAGCGTAAGCAAAACATGTGTGTGTTGATATGCATGGCTGAACGCAAGGTGTAATAGGCGGCCACAAGTGCTCTTCAAGATGGCAGCCGGCCCCATCCCAGTCACAAAAACAGCCAGCCATGTGCGGCACTTAACGCAGCAAGCCACCATCAAAACAGCAGGCACTCGGTTGAAAGAACATAAGCTAATGTGGGTCTTCATGCTTTTGTAATGAGGGCCGAGTATTCTGATCATTTTGGTCTAAATAATGCCCAGCACGATCAGAAAAACATTAATACAAGCGGCAATTATGTGCCAAGCTAACTCTGAAATACACGGCCAAATGCCGAGTTCGAGGCGAAAAGGTTTCAACTCCATGAAAACTGAGCAATCTTCGAATTTTGTTAGACAATGCATAATAAGCAAGTCAACTGGTACTATGTTGATAGCTTAGACGGCCATCTCTATGCATTTGGAGATACATTCGGCTACAAGCTATCACCATGCATTTGACTAAAAGGCTAAAATCGACTGGTATTGTTGATGGCTGCCCCTTGTATGTATTCGAAGCAACACACTTCTCGCTGTTTGCGTTTCGCATTTGGATGGCCGAATGCTTTGATGAAGGAGCAGGCAGCATCCAGATGCAGTGAGCTCGATTTGAGAGTATGCAGCTCCCAGTATACAAGCGGCCATCTATACAGGCGCTAAGCATTCGGCTCTTCGCTGTTGACCCTTGCAAACAAGAGCTTAATGGCTCCTACTTCAGAACGCATACAAGCATCCAAAATCAACACTCGGTTGGTTCAATACAATCGGCTCTATAATCATTCAACGACAGCCGAGAGAATTATTGCTTATCTCATACTATCAGCTAGCCTACAAGAAGGATACCGGCCATTAAAACCATTCGCAAAGAACGAAGCGGCATTCGCAACCATTGATTATTAAAAGCATAGCTAAGCTCAAGTTCTTGTAACCATGAAAGCAGCCGGCCTGCTCCTCATGTAAGTTCAGGCTATGAGATTCTTGAATTTCGAAGGGTCCTGGTCGAGTAAATTCAGGCTATGTAAGTTCAGGCTACGAGTTTTGTGCTTGGACTGAGCAGGGGCTTGAGTAGGCGGCCCCAGCCCAGTCCCAGCTTGACGCACCAGCTTGCTTAAAACAGCCGGCTACCTGATCATTCGGCCATTTAACGTCGAACTTGGAATTGCTTGTTAAGTCCAAAAGGGATACATCCAACATCCTCATGTATTACAAGCCGATTATGGGAGTGTGTATCAACAAGATGCCCAGCTAGAAACATCACAGCCAGCATGCTCCACATGTAAGCTAAAGATAAGTGCTTCTTGAAATTTCGAAGTATCATGGGAAAACAGCAGTGAATCAAGCGACACCATGCTGGCTCCAAGCATCTAGGCTTGATTGTTTGTAAAAGAAACAGCCGCATGGTTACAGCCAACGGTGTCAACTCGCTTAGAACAGCCGGCCACCTAGCAAATCAGCCTAACCATATTGTGTGAAGCTTTGCGCTTTAACCATATGCTGCTACCCATAATCCAGTTAAACGCATGTGTCACGCTTACCAAACCTCTTAAACATTCGGCCAACATAACAGGCGGACTTAAGTGGTCGGATGCTCCACATGTTAAGCATTGTTAAAGTCGAGTAATATATGGCTTTGCAAATTGTATATATGTCGACAAAATTCAGGATAAATTTGCAAGCCATGGAGGGTCGGATCATAGCTACTCGGCTTGGTTATTGTTGAACTCCTTATAAGGGCAATATGAACTCACCTCCCTCCTAGCATGTAACAATGTATGACCGTACAAAATAAATGGACGGTTGACTAAAGCTAGTTGTCCGAGTTGCCCTCACTTGAAGCTCCATGTTTCAAATTAAATACGGACAAGATAAGCTGGCCGAATAAAAATGAAAAGCAAACGTCCTCCATGTGCAAAGCTCAAACACCAACAGCAAGCAACTCTAAATGCCGAGTTCGTGTGTATAAAACAGGCGGCATGAAATCCATCAAAGAATAGGATGTTTTTCAAAACAGGCGGCATGCCGAATGTCTGGTTCTATGGTTTGCGTGGTTTCATAGCCTTGTTAAAGCTACCTCAATCATTATTATGATTATCCCAGTAGTGTGATCACTTGTCATTCTCATTTAAAGAATATTGCCTAAGTCTATCAAGCAAGAGAGGCGGCATGAATAGTAGTCGGCCCCCTATACGACGAAGTCTCGTAGCTATGAAAGCAGTCGACCCTCATTAATTTCACTAAGGGGCTAAAGACCGGCGGCAAATGTGTGGGCCGAACAGCAAGGTCGCAAACCACATTAAAACAAGTTTAGCACGACCACCTGTCCCCATTTGAAGAAAGTAGAGTCATCAATCCTCCATGGAAGGGAGCTAAGTGATCTATCTACTCTAACACTTGAAATTATTTCAATACTTGATACTAATTCAGAGGGGCATGCCGCCTGTACCTTTACAGTCGGCTACTCTCCATTGAGTATTTCACTCTATGATCAGAGGGGCATGCCGCAGTACCTCTATAGTCGGCTACTCTCTGCTTTGATTATTTTACTCTATCACAAGGGGGGCATGCCGTCTGGACATACAATCGGCTACTCTCCATAGAAGATGGCCGACTGGTTCCAAAACAAACGGCCACCCTCCTATACTTAGCTAAAAAATGATCAAGGCCTGGCCGACCCTGTGCCTAAACAGGCGGCTACCCTCCTCTTACCTAGCACCTACGTTCACCAAGAACTATCCAAGGCCACAAGCCGAATGATCAGTCCAGGCGCCAAGCCAACTGATCCAATCTTTAAACTAATACGACCTGTCCCAACATTATAGCAGGCGTCCGACGGCATCCCTCCGGATGAAATTCGTCGCAGAGAGCAGCTCCCTTTTGGGTGGAACATTGCTCTATAAACTAATTACACGGCACCTATAAGACTGTCCCCAAGGGCAACCACATAGCCGTTTTTGAGACAAGGATAACTCTATCACTAACCAAACCAGTGGTAGCAGTTGACATCTGAGTCGGATGACCCCCTGTATTACTTGGGATAAATGCAGGGGGTACCTCTTGAGTTAATAGCCAACAAACATTGGCGAATCAAAAGGTTCGGCCGGCCTCCGCCGCCTGGTTTTCCTACCACTCAAACAAAATAGGCAGTGATTGACTAACCGCAAGGTTAACCAGTCGCCCTCCTTAGTACGGAACCTAAAAGGTATGAGGAGTCCGCCTGTTTTTTGGTAAACAGAGGCACTCGACCACTATTCTTACTAGGTTGGCTATACTTAAAGTTGTCGTCTGTAACCCAACAGGCGTAGCTACTTTGGTTGGACGTCCTGTCTGACGCCTGCTTCTATGCAGCCACCAAAGCAGACGACCAGCCATCCCCCAACGAAATAAACTAAGTACCAAACTTAGTATATTGAATCAAAAGAGGCCAACGGCCAAATAATGCTAAATGCTTACCCCTTGTGCAATAGTTGACAGTCCACCTGATCAGGGGCTATCTGCATAGTAGGGCAAAGAATCGGCATCTGTCTAGTTCGGCGGCAATCATTATTATGATTGATTAACTTTGAAAATGTCATACCGCCCAAGGTATCAAAATTTTCTAAGTTAATCAAGTCCATCTCCCATTAGAACTAGACAAGATGCCGACCTAGCAAAGCTTCGAGGGTCTAACTTTCGAAAGGAGCAATCCCTCCTGGAAAGAGAAATAACTCCTTCCGAGGGGCAAATGTTTAGGGTAAAATTACCCATGACAAATGGACCAATCCGGACCTGCCACGTGTCCACCACGTGGGCCAATCAGCGTTCGCCACTTGTCACCCTAAGAGGTCCAACATGGAATAATCAGGTCACATCATGTGGCCCATTATCCGCCAACCTGGAAAACGGCCATCGCAGGCCCAATTCCCGAGGCAAGCCCAATCAGTCCTAGGTTTTCCCAGAAAACCTCCATAAACAAGGGAATCATCTCACCTAGAGAAGTCTAAACACATTGATCACTCCTCCCCTAGAGGAACTAGATCTCCCACCTTTACTTTCCGCATTTATTACTCCTCAAACAAGTACTAACTTGACCGTTGGAGGCGGAGCTCCCACCACAAGGAGTCTCCGTTGTTTTGCAGGTACAGGCGCAAGGATACCAGTCCCGGAATTGTAACTCTCTCGCAAGACATCAAAAAACCCCGAAACAATTTCCATTATAAAAATCATTTTAAAAAGTTATTTAAAATAATACTCATTTATAATATATTAATTTATATTTAAAAATAATAGTGAATATTGATAAAAAAAAATACTTTCAGTTCAGTAAAAGTAATTTAAGTTCAACAAAAATAACTTCAAGTTAATAATAACATAGATATATTTAATTTTTTTAAAAAATAAAGAATATGTAAAAATAAGTTCTAATCAGTAAAATTAATTTTAGTTTGCTAAAAATGTTTTTAGTTTAGTAAGAATAATTTAATTCAATAAAAATACTTTCAACTCAATAGTAACATAGATTATTTACAAACAAAGTTACAAAAAGTACAATACTATATAAATTATGAAAAGGGATTATATGACCGTATTTAACATTCACGCCAAAAGTTTATCCTAAATCTTATAAACCAACTGGGCATCGCCCAAGCACCAAACTAGTAACTAATATATAAAGCTAAACTTTTAGCCAGGCCACAAGACAACGACACTTGACATTTTAACTTTTCGCCAAATGTCGCGCATAGTAGGCAACAAATTTAATATTAGTATGACACGTAAGATTTATTTGGAAATACTTTTTATGAATAAAAAAATTTGTATTTTTTTATTAGGATAAAAACAAGGATAGATTTGTAGGATAAAAAAGTTAGTTTAGAGTTATATTTTCAATAAAATTTGGATAGATTTATAGGATTAAATTGGTTTAGAGTTTTATTTTCGATAAGATACCAATATTTCATGGGTACAAAATCTGATATATATATATATATATATAAAGGGAGTTTTTTCCCTGGTTTTTAGAGCGCCACGTAGGATTTTAATTTTTAAGAAATTATTAGAGCTCCACTTAGGATTAATATTTTTAAAACGCTACAATTAGATTTTGCCATGTAAGATTAGTTTTTTTGTTTTTAGGTGCTACATAGGATTATAATTAAAAAAAAAAAAATCGCCATGGAGGATTAATAATTTTAAAATGTTACAATTGGATTATGCCACTTAGGATTAATGATTTAGTGCTACATAGGATTTTTGTGTGGCTGACCATATCGTGTGGCCGGTTGAGATACACCCAAACACTGGCCGAATAACCCCTAGTCGATTGAGTAACCCTTGACCGACCAAATAACTCCCGACCAAGTAATCCGACCACACGGTGTGACCAGCCACATATGAAACTTTGTGAAATAAAATATTATTTTTTTTATATTACGAATTTTATCTAAATATGAGAAATAAAGTTAATAATTCATTTTATAATAAAAAATTCAAGTAGTTAGCAAGCCAATATCACAAAGTTTATCAGATAAATATATATTAGTAAAATATTTTATTTGAAAAAATACTAACAAATCGTGCATCGCACGGGCTTCATCTAGTAAAATATAAGTTTAGCCAGACCACGAGACAGCGATACTTAATATTTCAACTTTTCACTCAATGTTGCGCCACGTATACAACACTTAAATAATTTATCATATAAATTTATTTTTAAATCATAAATTTTTTGGAGCGAAGGAAGTAGTTCAAAATGTACAACATTCATTTATAATACGTTCTAATCGATTGAAATTAAATACTTCTCAATCTAATATGATTTTATTACTGTATGTAGACCTGACAATCGGGTCGGGTCAAGGGTCATTTTGGGTCGAGTCACTTCATGTCACGGGTCAAAAAATGTTCAATGCTAGCCCAAAGTTTCGGGTTCGGGCCACCCAATGGGCTTAGAACAATTTTTTATTTTTTTTTTACTTTATTTTTGGCTAATTTTTAAAAATTTCTAAAATTTCAAGCTTACTTTGCTATATTTTTTTGATAATTTTTTAAATCAAACATTTTCACCAATATTATTATTAGTCATTACATGCGTACTACATAATTTAAATCGTCACAAAATCACATCAATTCCTAACTAATTTTGTATTAATGATATATTTTAAAACTTAGTATATATATAAAAGGTTCATCTTAAAATTCAATAAATAACCTGGGCATTGCACGGGGCACCAAACTAGTTTTATATAAATTTGTCTTAGGAAGTATTATATACTTTGTGTAGGAACACGAATAAAGAAGAGAATGGACCATACGCGCGACGCGCCCCCCTTTCCTTGAAACCCCCAAATCAATTTCCACTCATTTAATTGAAGCCTAGACCAACCACTAGTAGTACGTGCGGCAAGCCGCCAGCGATCAGAGCGGGTGGGTCCTCCTTGGTCACCGACGAGCCCATTCTAGTCTAAGCTAGGTGGAACAGCTTGTGTGGCTGCTACTTGTCTCTTTGTGCGATCGAACGTCAGCTGGGGGGCTTGTTCTTTATGTCACCCTCACAGCAACCCTGTCGAGTGGTCGACCTGACCCTCTTTCGTGCTAGGTCGCTAGTGGTGGTTCACCGACCCCCGTTTCTGTTTCTCCAATGTGTGGATTCTCCTGCTCTTTGTTTAACCAATTGTGAGTAAGGGTTTTGTTTTCTTTTGCTTTGATTAACTCTCTGTATGCTCTTTTGTGGTTAAACGGGTTGGCATAAATTACTTAATGCTCTTATGCTTACTCACTTGAATGATTATTATGATGACAACATTGTTAATTTTGCAACTAATTTTTTCCCTTCAAGCATTTATAATCAAGCCAAGGTCTTGAAAGAGAAGGGTAAAACCTATTTTAAAGAAGTGAGTTTGTTTGTGATGGGGCTAAGTATGATAGAGGGGCTAAAATTTCTATATTTTGGGTTAACAAGGGATGAGGATGAGGATGATAATGTTATGCTATGGAATCTTGTTATTGCACTGGAATTAAATCTAACAACTTGTGCTCTAAAGGTTCGTGACTATGACCAAACTATGGAGCTTTGTTCCATCTCCTTAGTCATCATGCTTGATAGTAGTAATGCCAAAGCTCTTTATAGAAGGGCCCTAGCTAAAATCAAGCTCCACCACTTGGAAGAAGCTTATAAGGACCTTAGCAAGGCAGACAAGGTCGAGCTTAATAACCATGACATTCTCCGTGAGCTGGACAAAGTGAAGGGCCTAAGCTACAAGGCTAGCAAGTTCAATGGCAAGAGGGGTACTGAGGATTTCGTTCTGACTCATTCCAACTACAATAAAAAAAGGGGAAATCAGTAAGCCATCAACGAACCTTGAGTGTAACCGGTTATGTGGTAGCGACGATCAGAGTAGTGTTACGAGCTTGTCTGTCATGGATTTTGCTAGTGACGGGGTAGTAGAGAGCACTATCTCTACTCACAATACTTATGCTTATTTGGAAAATGAAGAAGAAGGATCTAGCAGCTTTCTAAACAATTAACAATCAAGACATGCCAAGGACAAGGGACCGGGGAAAACCCATTTTTTCTCCAATGAAATGAACAGAGGTCGGTCCCTAAAGATTTCCGACTTGTCTTTCTTGAAACTCATGCAAGGGAAGACTTTGAGTTTCTATAATAGTTCTGCTGACTCATGGATGATTGTACGAATGAAGGAAGGACTACACAGGATAAGTATTATGATACTTACTAGGCGATGGGCCTCAAAGGCCCAAAATCCTTGTCCATGCCTACTAGGATGGTGATTCAAGATAGAAGGAGACACGACAACAAGATTTGAAGTAAAAAGGTCAAGTTCTCTCCTGTACTTGAAGTGGTACAGTGAACCATGTTATTTGGTCTGGTAAGCCCATCACTACTGTTGTTAAGAAGAAAGATGAGACTATTTCTCCATGTCTAAATGATAACAACGACGTGGCTTCGAGCATTGAGGAGGGGAGTGAAGTTCTTGCAAGAGACTATCATACCACTGATATTACTAAAGTGGTTTCAATAGGATCTAATGAAGATGATCCCAGGCCATGATTTTTGAATCCGGCCAGGTCCAATCTTTCCCTTCACCCTCTATCTTCATGTTATCTGCCATAACTAGGAAGAATGGAAGGCATCACATGTTTTGAGTGAAGAACAAGAAAAGTAAAATGTACTCCAAGTTTCATTTTTACAGGTCCAAGAAGCGCAAAGGAACAAGCTCCTTATTTTTATTGCCAAGCAGACAATGACTAGTGTCCGCGATGATAGTTGTCAACCTCCTTATTTTTATTGCCAAGCAGACAATGAATGTTGTACCCTCAATCCCCAGTTTAGGTCTTGTATTAGTATAGTTAAGAGAATTAAACTCTCTTCTTGTGTTAATTGTAGTGTCGTGTTGATTGGAATTGAAGCTAGTCTCCTTTTTCCACTTTGTTAAAAAAAATATTTACTTTGTGTAATACAATATCAATTTTTTCAAAAGAATAATAAAGTATAATAATGAGTTATACATGTTAAATATGCCTTAAATCAGGGTAGGAAAAAGCAAGGAGACACGCCTGTGCATCATCAAAGGTTTCATGAAATACCGCATAGAGTCCATAGTGCCATGTCCGTGCCAGGTCAGGAAATTTGTGTTTTCAAATATCTTCCTTAAGTTCTGAACTGGGGCACAAACATGCCCTGGCCTAGGCGGATTAAGTCGGTTTTCACGTGGGAATTATTTCCTTATTTATGGGATATATTTCTTATTGTAGGGAGTACTATAAAAACCTCTTAGGGTTATTTCCTAGTCACTTTGATATTCTTTATCAATCTGTGATATAGAATTCCTTAAGAGCAATAAAGTATTTCGTCTCGCCTTGTTTATGGATATAGGCAACACATTGTTGGTGAACCACTACACATAAATCTGTGTGTTTTGTGTTATTTGTTCTTTTTCACATCCGATTTAGCAAATTGGTATCAAGAGCTTAAGTTCAATCTCAGTGAGAGAGACATCAGGGTTGAGTGTGAAAATTGATAAGTTCACAGGGAGAAATAGTTTTAGTCTATGGCAAATCAAGATGTAGGATTTACCTAAAGCAACAAGGTTGTGGGCACCTTTGACAAATATAGACGTCATTGAATTCGAAAATAACTAAGTTCCTTAAAAAGAAGGAACAATCAACGATCATGTTGTGTCATGTAGACAGTATCATAATTAGCGAGGTCGCGGAGCAGGATTTCGCATCAAGTTGGTGGTTAAAATTGGAGGGATGGTAAATACCACTCTATTTATAAGGCAAAGAATTCACTCTAGCTATTAGAGGTGTCCTGTAGACACCTAAAAATGTCTCCATTAGGGAGGATTCTTGGTTATTTATCGATTTGAGTGATCGGTATTCAATTGAGATGAGTGGATGAGACTTGAAAGATTCTTGAATTGTATTCCTGCAATTTAATTGGCATTGTTACATATGTATATACATTTTAGCTTACCTATTTTGCCACAATAGTACGTGTTCTACGTATGTGGCTAGCCCGGGGGATTTAAGCTCTATCGACCTGAAAACGCTCATGGCAATAAGGGTTCATCCGAGTTTTTAAATCCACCCAAACCATGGAGTCAAGTTCAATTTCATAACGAACTTGCGGAGTCGCCCGTTGGCATACGCCCTCAAGGGAGGCTTCCTTGATAACACGTCCAAACTCTTAACCATGGTACCCTTTTGACACCCTGATAAGCTTGACCATAGTCGAACATTAAACAAGACTCTAGGTTGCGAACTTCATTGCATCATGTGTGACAATGTGCTTATATGTGCATATTTTTATTGATTTATTTATTTATTAATATTTTTTTGACACCCAAATAAGCTTGACCATAGTCGAGTCATAGTTCTTTTTATTTATTTATTTTTTTTATTTTGATTCAACCTGGATTTTTATCCCCGTATCCTGCACAAGCGTCAACTTGTTTTGATCATAGCCGGAGTTCTAGAAAGAGTTACATGGCGTGCTACCTATGGATCTGTAGCCTCGAGTTTTATCTTTCATTGAGCATTAATTTCGTCCCAATCAGAGATAAGTTATAACCGAAAATATTACAGCCTGTCCTGTATAGAAGTTCTTTTTAGCGTCCAATCTTCTTTTTTTTTTAAATTTTTTTTACTTTTTTTTTATTTTTTTATTTATATATTATTATGTCAAGCTAGTCTTAGCCAATCTTCTACTTCTCTTATTCCTTTAATCTATGTCAACTTGTATAACATAGGATTTTAGATTTTATTTTATTTTATTTTTATTCTTTTCCCATGTGTCTTTACTCTTCTAGAATTCCAATCCTCTTCCTAGTTTCTTGTGATTATTGTGCTAACCTTAACATGTGTTTTTTGTCTTTGATTGTGGTTGATCTTATTTATATCTAACGATTGCCAATGGATCGTTATTGCATAGTAAATAGCATAAACATTAAAATTGGACAAAATTAATCAAGTTAGTTTGTCTTTTAGTCTTCTGTGCTATTTGGTCCTTGGGTCCTTTGTTTTCTTACAACGTCCTCATGTCTAGCCATACGATCCTATCACGAGTCTTAATAGGCTCACCTAATTATACTTGTTGAGTCATTGCACACACTTTGTCTTCGAGTCATGCACTATATTGTTTATGATTGTATACTAAGTTCATGCATGTGTCATTTCCTGTCATAATAAAAAAATGAGTGAAGTTTCTCTCACCTGTTTTCAAAATTCTGTATTTCCCCCTTTCTTTCTTATTTTGAGCAATGAGTCAAACCATTAAGTGAATTTGTTTTATTTCATAGTACTTTGTCAAGGAGCAGGGGTAGATTTGTGCGGTTTGAGTCACTACCACAACAACCTCTTAGACCTAAGAGACGTTCAAAGAAAACTTCACCATCTCCACATCAACTATGACCTTCAAACTACTTTCAATTCATTCCAATGGCCACCAAAGAAGATATTGAGGGCATTCACAAGTCCATCAAGGGAGTTTCTTCCATGATGCAAACCCTTACCACCAAGGTCAATACCATGGAACAAACCAAAGTCACTGTTGCTATAGTTGACAAGATAAAAGAACAAATGAACAGAATTTCTAAAGAGTTCACCTACATGGAACAAACTTCCACTACTTTGGCTGTGACGGACAAACTCCCTGTAAAAAATTATCCACTTCTGACATACCCAATTTCGAACCTATTGACAATCTAATATTCCATTTGAAGGCCTTCTCTGCAACCATGACTCTCAACGGATTGGACGTAGCACTCTTCCCTATGGTGTTCCCTCTCTCCTTAGAGCATGCTTTCCAACAATGGTTTTATTCTCTATATACCAAATACACTGCAACTTGGCAAGATGCCACTGAAAGTTTCATGAATCGTTACAAGTGTAACATTCAAACCAGGACTTCATAACGTGAGCTTTCTATCCTTAAGTAGAAAGAAAATGAAGGGTTCACTTGAAAGGAATGGTGTCCTTTAAACAAGTGTATTATTCCGATAGAGGGTTAGGAATTAATTAAGAAAGCTAATTTTTCAGTGAGGTCAAGTGATCGGAATGCCTAGCTGGAGGCCTCTTCCGATCAATAATATTAATGTATAATTAATATTACAACTTAATCTTGACTGAACCCTTTGAGTCACACCGAATCGTGTAACCGAACCGAAGCGACAAATTAATCCGAAGGATTAAATAAGTCGATATGAGATTTTACGAACTAAGATGTAAGATTCCGAGCTTAGAGCATCAAAGCCGAACGTCAAGCCTCGAGTCATTTCAATGAATCAACGAGATGGCAAAATAATCAAGCAACAAGATTTAAAGCCAAAACCCTAAAACCGTGGCATTGCATTATCCTAGCCTCATGCTAATCATGCGTGGGCTAGGCAGTGGGTTGCTAGCCGTAAAGTGCCAGCATGGCTACTAGGTCGTGCCACCATGCATAGCATGGCAACCAGCCCAGCAGGCCATGCGCACTAGCGAGCCTAGCTGGCCGAGGCTGCTAGCGCACCAAGCCCGCATGGTTGATGGGCGTGTGGTGGCTAGGAGCAACCCGTTGGCTAGCATATGGGCTGCGACGACATGGCAGCCCAACCGCATGTAATGGCAGCCGGTTGGACTTGCCATCGAGGCCCATGCTTGGGATGGGGATATTTTTTGGGTTGTTAGCTCTTTGCTTCTTCTCCAAGGCATGGTAAGTGGTCCTTAACTAACCTCCTTAATATTGTGACAAGTGTTGTTTGCTTATTGCTTTTGATATTTAATTTAATTTGGAATTAAATCAAATCATTCTTTTTGCCTTTTTACCAACTATCCCACATTGAAAGATAATGGAAATTCTTGGGATATTTCCCTATAAATACCCATCATTGGGTATTTGGAATTTCACTTGAGTTGGTGAACTTTAAGGGATCTCCAAAAGCTAGAAAACCTTTGTTCGTAAACTCTAAGTTTTTTAGGTCTAGCCCCGTCTATACTACGGGGTAGGGACCGGTTACGGTTCGGTAGCGAGGGTGTGAGCCGTCGGAGGTTCTCGCACTTGCGGAACTTTAAGCTTTCAAGTCCGAGCTCATTGATTGAGCGAAGCACGCTTCTAGGGTGAGTATTCTTTCTCTCTCTTCTCTCTCTTCTCTCGTGTTTTGTTTATTTGCATGATTTTGTTTATTTTGTAATTATTATGCATGCGATACGGTTATCGAGTTTTGTTTCTGCGCGGTTTCGAACACCGCAAATGGTTGAGCCACCACGGGAAAATTGAAAGGAATGGTGTCCTTCCAACAAGTGTATTATTTCGATAGAGGGTTCAGAATTATTACAGAGCTAATTCTTCAGTAAGGTCAAGTGATCGGAATGCCTAGGTGGAGGCCGCTTCCGATCAGTAATATCGAGGTGCAATTGATATTACAGCTTGATCTTAACTGAACCCTTCGCGTCGAACCCAATCGAATCTCCGATCCGAGACGTCGAATTAATCCGAAAGGATTTAATGAGTCGGCAAAGTTTTACGAATACAGACGTCGGAAATCGAGCCTAGGGCGTCGAGACCGA